CGCTTGAGAATCCCTTGCAAGGAGATCAAATCAGTCAATCCTGAAGGAAATCAACCCTGACCAGGGGTGAGTTCTACTTACCTTTACTACCAGTTCGTTACGGGATTGCATGTGTGCGTGCGCTTCTCTCTCATGCGCGCCTTGCTTCTGCGCATGCGCAGATTGCAAATGATGACATCCGGGGCAGTGGGTGGGGCCTCCCGCCAGTTTTACTACTGGTTCTTCCGAACCGGTCCGAACCGGGGGCAACCCACCACTGACCCTGACTATTCTTTGGAAGGACAGCTACTGAAGCTGAAGCTCAAATACTTTGACTAAGGAGAAGACAGGAGTCCTTGGAAAAGACCCTGGTCTTGAGAAAGACGGAAGGCAAAAGCACAAAGGGATGGCAGAGGATGAGATAGTTAAATAGTGCAATTGATGCAGCAGACATGAATTTGGGCAAACTCTAGGAGACAGGGGAGGATAGTGGAGGCTAGCATGCTGTAGGGTTGCAAAGTATCAGGCATATATTATAATTTACTGACTGAACTACTGCTTTGTTAGTGCTTCTCTAATATCCCATAGATTTCTCTGAAACATTATCTGCAGTGTGAATCCTTTGATACTGAATCAGATCTGAAGTCATTCCAACACTTTCTAGAAACTTCTAAGTTATTCCACTGCCCCCCTCTCCCCCCAAATTTCTCCCACATATTCATCTGGCTTCTTCCTTTAGTTTTCTTCTATGTTAATTAGGGGCATCATTTACACTGATCAAAAATTGTTCCCAATAATTTATTACATTAACCTTTAAAATGAGAAATAGTTAATAGCCCGATATACCTAAATGTTTGTTTTTTTAAAGCTGTATTAAGAAAAAAAGTGCAGTCACAATCATGCCAGTAAAGAGTAGTTTTCTCCTATTTGCAATGCCTGGTCCCCTAAAATTTCAATAGGATTGACCTTTCTGATCACCTTGTATTGCAAGCTCAGGAATCTGCTTAAGCTAATACCAATGTACCCCTGAAAAAGTTGAGAAATGTAGAAGTTTTGGAATCTAATACACAAACAAACAAAAAAAATCATAAAATTCCATTTGAGCTGAATGGCATGTCTTGAAAAGGTCAGAAAATACGGTTCTGGTTATGTAGGAAATAAAGAGAAATAGCTTGATCAAACTTTTTTTTTTTAAAAAATTGCTCAGTTGGATCAAAAAAACCATTTTGAAAGTAAAGAGGCATCAGCAATTATCAAGAGGCACTCATTAATTCACTGCCTACACTTCTTTCAGCAGGATTAATGCAATTTTGCACCCAGAGATCTAAGCTACACAAGCATGTACATATAAACATTCAGATGATTTTTTTTTTCTGCTAAACAAGAGTTATGCACATCAGATTATATGAAAAAAGAATAATTTAAATACTTCGGTAATGTTTTAAGTCCCAACATTTATAAAATGTAGAACTAAAAATACACACATATACCTTTTTCTCTGCATTACTTGCATATGACAACTCTCTACAAAGCCTAGAACCGATCTCAGACTCATTTCAGTAATTACTTCAGCCTAAATAAACGTGCTTGACCAGGCAGAGATTTTGCATAATGACTGGGACAGTTGAATAAAAAATTCTCATGAGCCAGACCAAACAGATTAGGTCAGGGGTCCCCAACCCCTGGACCGGGTCTTCAGCCCTTTAGGAACTGGGCTGTGTGAGTGAGGCTTTATCTGCCATGTGTGGGATCTAGGTATCATGTGAAATCATGCCCCCATCCATGCAAAAATTGTTTTCCATGGAACCAGTCCCTGGTGCCCAAAAGGTTTGGGACTACAAGATTAGGTAATACTTCTGGCATTAAGAAATCTATCCTTGGAACTTTTTCCATATTCTATACATTGTTCAGTTTCTCCTATGACAATCCTCTGAAAGGAAGATTGTATATCCTCTTTTCACATGATCCTTGTATTTACTAGACCCTTAAATGTGGATCCTTTTATGGGAAATAAGGCAGGTCAGCAGACTGACTCTTTGTATTCCATGCATTTATTCTATCTTTCCTATGCGAACCTTTTTCTAGGAAATAAGAGAGCTCCTTGTATTGAAGTTCTTAAGACTGCTGCTCTTTAATTCTTCCCCCAGACACCTATTTCTTGATTTCTTCCATATAGATCTTACCATGGAAATTAAGGAATCTTGCTTACCCTAGTTCCATCCTTCTTGCATTTATAGATTCCTTTTCCAAGTTTCTCAAACTTTTCCCATGTGTTCTAATGTTTCTCCCACATATATCTCAAATAATATTTAAAGAAAATAAATCTGTTACACTTGAAAGAACCAGTTTGATGGAGTGGTTAAGGCACCAAGCTAGTAACCAGGAGAGCTGCCTTAGGCATGAATCCAGTTGGGTGACTTTGGGCCTATCACTTTCTCTCAGCCCTACAATGGTGGCAACCAGTGGTGAAATTCAGCCGGATCTATCCAGATCGCGTGATCCGGTAGTGCCGGCGGTGGGAGGCTCTGCCCACCCAACCAGACGTCATCACGTCCCATTTTTTACCCTCTGCACATGCGCAGAAGGCTCTGTGTATGTGTGGAGGCGCCTGCGCTCACATTTGCAATCCGGTAGCGAAGATAAGTGAATTTCACCCCTGACGGCAACAGTAAAACACTGGAAAAATCTTGCCCAAAAATCTGCAGGGACTAATAGCACCAGGAGTCAAAAAACTACTTCAAAGGCATAAAGAAAAAGCACTTGAAGATCTTTCCACACTACATGCTTACATTGTATTTCCCTTGTATGAAACCTTTTAATATGTATCAGTTGGCAATTCTTGCCTGAAGCTCTGCCTTTGCTGTATATATTTGATATTATAGTGGATTGTTTACAGGAATTAAGGATATCTCAGTCCCTAAAGTTATCTCCTCCATGTGGATCCTTTTATGGAAGCTGATGATCCACCTGAAATCCTTTCCACACACCATTCATGCATTTTTTAAAAAGCTATAAATCTGTATTTATTTATTTATTCCGTTATGTTGTGTATATTGGAGGTGGTGAGCCTTTGAGAGCTATATGTAACAAAATTTCATTTTAATGTCTGCAGATTAGTATACATTCAAAATGACAAAGTTATTCAATTCTAAATGCAGTCTGGTTGCTGAGTGACCAAATTGCAGCCATGGGGGGGTGAAGGTGTCACAACTATTGTAACTTCGAATCTCACCAGGTATGTCCATCAGAATCTGAACAGTTGGTAAGCGACCAATCCTAAATTGAGTACCTGTATAGAAATATTCACAATGTAAAAAGTATTTTTGTAAAAAACCATGCCCTTTCTCATAACAGAAATCATAGAAGGGGGAAAAATATATGATGTACAGAACAAACTTCAGGTAGAGCAAATAACATAGTTCATATGAGAGCCTATTTGGTCTACTGGTTAAGGCATCAGACTAGAAAGGGGAGATGAGTTGTAATCCCGTCCTAGGCATGAAAGCCAGCTGGGTGACTATAGGCCAATCACTCTCTCAGACCAACTCACCTCACAGGATGATTACTGTGGGGAAATAAAGAGGATGTAAGAGTGCTAGTTGTATATATAGCTATATACATTAAAATAACAGAGTTTATTTAGAAAACTAAAGGTGGGATACAAATAAAAATAATAAATAAAATAAAAGGGAACATATGGGGGAGATGCCTGCCCCTGTGTGTGGCTTTTTAGTTGTTGATTAGGATCTGGTTAGCTGGCTTTTTAATTGTTGGCTATTGTTTCCTTGTGCTGCAAGTCCTCATTTGTCCTCCATGAACAATCTCTCCCGGTGTCTTTTTCCAGCTATGCCCCACTGTTGAGGGAGCTAAGAAAGGGAAGCTTATTCTAGAGGGCTCAACCCAGAATAGGAATTCAGACTCTCCTCTTTGTTGGGGCCCAGTTGGGAGACCACCAGGAGATCCTATGCCCAAAAGACGAAGCTGCCAAAAGCTGTCCATGAGTCTGAGGTGAAGTACAAGGGCCCAGAGATCCCCTACCAGGGGGATACCTTGACAGGACCCAGGTCACCAGAGGATCACCTCTGCTCATGCTTCTCTCATCCAAGGCGCATCAGGACGGTGCTGCCTCTCTTCTCTCAGGAGGAGTGTGTGAGTTTATTTGAGTGCTCCTTCCTTCCCTTCTGTCATCTTTCCTTCCTTCTTTTTTTCATTTCCAATTTTCCTTCCTTTCTTCTTTATTCCCCTTCCTCTCCTTCCCTTCTTTCATTTTTCTTTCCTTCTTTTTTTCCTTTCCATCCATCCTTTCTTTCCAATCTTCCTTATTGCCTGCCTGCCGCAGCTGAGGCGACTCATTAACGTATTTCCCGCCCAGACACTTCTCGCCTCCTATTGGCTACCCCCGCTCACGTGACCCAGGGCGCTCCGCTCCCATCCATGCCCTCAGAGCGCCAGGCGCCCAGAGCCTTCGGAAGCGGCGGCGGAAGGGGCAGCCTCGCGCCTTCTGAGGACGCCTGGCCTCTCTAGGACTTCGTGCTCGCTCGCTGTAACCCCTTCGTCTCCGCAGGCGGCAAAGAAAGGGAGTCAGAGGTGTGCAGAGCCACTTTGTGCGAAGGAAGCCAAAGCGGGGGGAGGAAGAAGGAGGACATGCAAAGGGCTCAGTCAGGGTTAGTCATCCCAGTCCGGGGTGGGTGGATGGGGGATGAGGAGAGTCCCTTTGCATGTAACACCCCCCCCCCCCAACAAAGTAACCTTCCTTGCAAGGAGCCTCGAACCACCCTCCCCTTTCCTGGGAAAAGCCTCGGGAAGGGAGAAGGGAGGTTTTGCATTGCAAACTCAAGCAGGACAATGCATTCTTTTCCCTCTTTTTTATTTTTTTTAATTTTTATTTCTTATACACATATTGTAAATGTACATTCTCTTATCCATAATTGATCATATATATACATATTTTTTTCCTAATGAAAGCATAAATATAAGACATTTTAATTACATTTGAGGTTGCTCTTCTACCCTCTTTTCACAACAAACTTTCTCCTCCTCCTTTCTTTCCCCTCCCTCTCTCCTCTCTTCTATTTTCTTCCTCCTCCTCTCCTTTCCTCCCCTACTTCACCTTCCTCTACCCCACTCCCCCCTCTTTTCCCTTTTTCTCATCTTCTCTCCTGCTCTTGTCCCCTATCCTTTCTTCCTCTCCTTCCCCTTTCTTCCATTCCTCTCTCTCCCTCTCCTCTTTCCTTTCTTTCTCCTTTGTTGTGCAATATTTCCCTTATTTGGTATCTGAGCAACTCCAATTTTCTAATAATACATACTTTCTTTTCAATTTCTTTCCCGTTTTACCCAGTCCATCATTTCATAATTGTACATTTATATTTATAATCTTTCTTTCTCAACCCCTATCCCCTTTTTCCATTTACTCAGGTGTCATCTGAGTTTCTATTTCTTTTTCCTTTCCTTCTTTATTCCGCCTTTTGCTACCTTGTAAGCGACTCAACTCAAGGCGCCAACTTCATAACAACCGTCCTGTGAGGTTGTGCAGATCTTGTTCAAAGGCCTGGAGGCTAAACCATATGAAGAACGGTTGGAGGATTTGGGTTTGGTTAGTCTGCAGAAAAGAAGGACATGAAAGGGGGGACATGAGAGCAGGATTCCAGTATTTGGTGGGCTGCCACAAAGAAAGGGGGGGTCAACTTATTTTCCAACACATCAGAAGGCAAGAAACAACAGATGGAAACTCATCAAAGGAGAGAGGCAACCTGGAATTAAGGAGAATTAGAACAATTAACCAGTGGAACAACTTGCCTCCAGAAATCGTGGCCGCTCCATCACTGGAAGTTTTTAAGAAGAGACTGGACAGTCACTTAATCTGAAATGATATCCTGCTTGAGCTGGACTAGAAGACCTCCAAGTCCCTTCCAGCTACGCTAGGCTACTCTACTCTACTCTACACAGTGTGCAATTTTTTTTTAACAAAAGGACTTAAATTTCTTGATTTAAATTATTCATTGTTCAGTTCCTCAGATTAATCAGTACCGTATTTTCTATTTCTCAAGATTTTCAAATGTCGCCTTAGTGCAAGGTCCTATGCAGCTCGATTTTGGGGTTTTTTTGCATCTTGTATTAATTCCAGGCTACCTCCGCGGTCTTTTAATTCTAATTCGCGCAGATTCGGCTAGAAGAAAGGAATCGGTCCGGTCTGGGGCGGGGGGGGGGGCGGACACACAATCGTTGGCGGGATCTGCTTTGGGTCCGGTGTCAATACTGCGGAGCTGCGGGGGAAGCCTAGGGGGCGCCCGCCTCAATGCCGAACACCTGAGCGCCACTGCGCATGCTCCGCCACGTCTGCCCAGCTGGGAAGGAGCGACTGTGAGCTGAACCCTGGGAACCTGGGGAGAAGCGGGGAGGAAGGGGTCCTGCAACCCCGAGTCTCCCCCGGGGAAAGAAATAGCTGGAGGGAGGCTTAAGGAATCAGCTGATCACATTTGCATCAACCAGGTTCGCTTCCGAGCATTTCTAACAAAGAACCTGGGAAGGAGGCTTCCCTGCCTGGCACTCCTTGGCCACCCTCTGCAAACAGACCCCTTTCAAGCTTTGAGGGGGGAGGGATCGAAAAGACACCCCCCCAAGAGCTTTTCTGCTGCTAGGGGAGCTGAGCAGGCACCTTCCAGAGAAGACCCTCCCCAATATGAGGGCGGGGTGTGTGTCAAGAGAGTTGAAGGAGGGACAGTCCTTCCACTGAGTCTGAAAGATTTCTTGGGGTTGCCCCCCTCCCCTCCAAACCGTTACTTGGCCCTGAATTTGATCATACAATCATAGTTTCTGAATGAGAACAGTATGCAATTCCTGAGGTTTCTTTTCTTTTCCGCCTCAGATGTAAAAAAACGGGAGGCCTCTTGAGAGCTGAATGGCTTGAAAATCATCTCCCAGCCTCTCTGTGCAACTCCTCCAGATCCCAGGACTGAAAAGACCTTTGGAAACCCAGGAGATCCGCAGGGCCCTTCTGGATCCCTGTCAGAGAAAAGGCCCCAAAATGGATGCAAACCAGCCAGCCTGGAAGCGAGTGGGAAAAGGCCCTGTTGCCATTCAGCCTGGGAGCTTTGGGCAGCTTTGGGCAGGACCTGGGCAGAAAATCCCAGAGAAGGAAGCTCTCAGTTCTGAGATCCAACATTGGCACTTCAGGAACAGCCCTCTTCAGGAGACTGAGGGGCCACGAGAGCTTTGCAGCCGCCTTCATCGCCTTTGCTGGGGGTGGTTGCAGCCAGAGAAGCACACCAAAGCTCAGATGTTGGACCAGGTGATCTTGGAACAGTTTCTGGCCATCCTGCCCAGGGAGATGCAGTGCTGGGTGCGGGAATGCCGAGCAAAGACCACTTGCCAGGCGGTGGCCCTCGCCGAAGGTTTCCTACTAAGCCAGGCAGAGGAGAAGGGAATGCACCAGGTGAGAAACATTCCTCTTGGGAAATATGGAGGAAGCTTAATGTGCTGTAATTCTTAAAGTTCCTACTTAACAGTTTGGGTGATTAATACATCTTAATAATCCCTGTTCACCAATTCAGGTTACATAGAGCTTGCAATATTGAAAATGAAAATGTAGTTCATATGTTCTTTTAACTCCTTTTTTGGTCAAAATTTCAGGTTCTGAGGTCCTTCATGGAGGTAGGGACTACTTGCCCCGAGGAAAGGGTGAATCCCACAATTCCCTCTCAGGAGCCATGTTGTAGGGGACTCTACAAACCGGAAGATCAATGTCAAGACACCTCAATAGGTAAGAGAAGATCATTCTACAAGGTTGGAGATGTTCCAGAGAAATTCTGGTTATTCTTTATTCTTTTATCTTCTGAGATGGGGAGGGGAGTAACCTGTCTTCGGCCTTCCCTGATACATAATTTCAAGTAAAGTCTGACACGTAACCATTTTTCCTTGTAGGCATCTTCCTGGGGTGATAGAACTACCGGTATGTCAGTTGCCCTTCCAAACGGGTTGGTTTCAGCGGTAGAGGGAGCATCTACCATGATTGAGTGAATACTTTGGTTGGCAAAAGCATACTTGTGTGTCCCTGATCAAAAGGCTAGGAGAGAGGTCCACTTAGGGTTTGTATTCTAGTGCATGGTGGGGTGGTCTTCTTTTCTCTTTTTTTCTTGGATCCCAAGATGAAGCCCACAAAAGACCACCGAAAGAAGAGGGCAATGGATGGAGGTTTCCTTCGCAGGACAGGAAGAAATACTAAGTTGATGCTTCCAGCTAGAAAAGATGGAGTTGATTCCTTTCCTATTTTCCTGTCTTTTTCCCAGGGAACAAAATGGAGTCATTGTTATTCATCCGATCATCTCCTTGTACTAGTGGAGCTAAAAGAACAGCTGGACCTTCAGTTCAGGTAGGAAGGAAAAGATCAAAAGCTAATATGGGGAAACAGTTGAGACCTCCAGTTTCATTTGGGGTCTCAGTGTATGATGTTGCTGTTCCTGAGCGATGTGGAACAAGGAAATTAGTATTCAAGTATAAATACTCAATTTAGAACATAGAATATCAGAGTTGAATGGAATAGAATTCTTTATTGGCCAAGTGTGAGTGGACACACAAGGAATTTGTCTTGGTGCATACGCTCTCAGTGTACATAAAAGATACATTTGTCAAAGGGACCTTAGAGGTCTTCTAGTCGAACTCCCTGCTCAAGCAGGAGACATTATACCATTTTAGACAAATGGTTGTCCAGAGTCAGATCCGGGGTGAAATCTAAATTTTTTTTGCTACTGGTTCTGTGGGCATGGCTTGGTGTGGCGTAGCTTGGTGATCATGTGACTGGGTGGGTGTGGCCAGTTGGACGTCGTTCACGTCACTCCATGCTGTGCATGGGGCGCTTGGAGAGAAAGCGAGCAAGACAGCTTTCCAACCTCTGTTTGTGTGTGTGTGTGTGTGTGTGTATGAGGGAGGGAGGGAGCGATCTGAAGCCAAGGCACCCAAACTTCTGGCAACAGCGGGGAGGGGCAGGAGAACGGCAAGACTCAGGAAGTAGGTCAGGTGGAGCTGGCTGCTCAGAAGCTGCCCCACCGCTGCCAGAAGTTTGGGTGCCTCGGCTTCAGATCCTTCCCTCCCTCCCTCACACACACACACACACACACACACACAGAGGTTGGCGAGCTCTCTTGCTCGCCAAGCACCCCATGCACAGGCCATTTGAGGAAAAGGCACTGACGGCTGGATGCGTTTCGCTGCAGAAGGAGGCGCAGCGCAATGGGGTTGTTTTGTTCAGAGGTGGTACTTCAGGAGGGCAGGTGGACATTTGCAGCTGACAACTATAATGAATATGTCCACCTGCCCTCCCGAAGCACCACTGCGGCAAACAAAACAACCCCATTGCTATGGATGCATAGCTTGTCGGGCTGAGTAGGGAAGCCGCTGCTTGAGGGGGGAGGGGCAAGTAAGCTGCTAGCTCCTTCCCCGCAGCCCTGCCATGCTTGCCTGCCTTCCACGTGGGCTTCTGCTTGCCTGTCTTCGCAAGCTGACCATCAGGATGCCAGGAAGGCGGTATGGAAGACAGGCAAGCATGGCAGGACTGCGGGCTGTGGATCGGTTCAAGGGCGTGGCCAGCCAGCCATTGCTCCTGGTTTGGCGAACTAGCCTCAATCTCCGCTACCTACTCACCCGAGCCGGTCCAAACCGGGAGCATTTCACCCCTGGTCAGACCTTTTAAAAAAGTCTCTAATGATGGAGCACCCACAACTTCTAAAGGAAACTGTTCCACTGCTTAATTGTTCTCACTGTTAGGAAGTTTCTCCTTAATTCCAGGTTGTTTCTCTCCTTGATTAGGTTCCATCCGTTGTTTCTTGTCTTGCCTTCATGTGCTTTTGAAAATAGATTGACCCCCCTGGTTCTTCTTTTCACTAGATAGCCATGCCCAATTCCTGCAACCTGTTCATAATATGTTTCTCTCCAGGCTCCTAATCATTTTCGTTGTTCTTCTCTGCATTTTCCCAAAGTCTCAACTCTTCCAAACTCTTAATAACTCTTCTCAACTTTTCCAAAGGCTTAACTCTTATACTGTCAGAGTCCAAAAATACAGTTTATACTATGAAACATAAGAAACAATAAAATAAACTGATAGGCAAAGGAATAGGAACATCTGAAACAGTGCCAGCTTTTTGTTGTGGTCCGCCAGCAGCCTGCGGAGCTGGCAGTGGAGTCGGACAGTGAGGAGCCTGAGGAGGAACATGGGCCAGTCCTGGAGCCTGGGGAAGGCCCAGACAAGGGCTCTGCGTCAGAGGCAGAGAGGAGCCAGGGCCAGCTGGGAGTGATGCACGGACTCCAGTCGGACAGCAGAGAGGCAGAGGAACAGGAGGAGCCTGTTCCTACTGCAGGCATGCACAAAGCTGCCAGAAGGCACGAACAGTTAAAACAAAAGGGATGACTCGGGAGTAAGGCCTGGAGATGATTGGCCCCTCCCATAAGGCTTAAAAGAGGAGCAAAGACATGTGGGCACTTTGCAGGAAAGCAACATTGTTAATTTTGTTCCCAGTCAGCATCTCTGTTTGATTCAGGAATCCGTGTGGCTTTGCCAAGTAGGTCTTTGACAGAATGTCAAGGGAGATAAAGGTTGGTGATTATCCCGAAGGACTATTTGCAACTAATTGGGACTTAGCTGTGAATGAATGTAATTCACAGCTGTTGCAATAAAAGAGGTTTTTGGGACTACTTATGTGTTTTAATGACTCAGGAAGCCTAGGTCACAACACTTTTATCATTTTTGGAAGCCTGCCAGTTTAACTTACATAAACAGCAAGTCCTCAATTTATGACCAAATTGGGACATTTGTAAGTCATTGTAGTTGTTGAGTAACCAATTGAGTTGAGTAACCGATTATTTAACAAATCATGTTTATTAAGCTAGTCACGTCATAAATACAAATCCAACTTAACCAATGGCTTTTTTGCCAGAACACATAAAAATGAACTGGTTTCTAAGTGCACGAATTGCAATTATATGACTGTGGGGATTGGTGTGACTGTTTCTGATGGTCTTAAGTGACTTTTTCCAAGACGGCTTTCATTTTGGAACTATCATTAAGTGAAATATCATAATTCTAGGAGAAAATATGTTGAGAATTATACCTTGTTTTCAAAGTTAAGAGCTTTTTTTTTCTGGGCTAAAGGGTAAAGACTGAAGACAATCCTGACTTCATCTTAGCTTTTAGGAACTGCAAAATAATAGAATGCATAATAATATAGTTGGAAGGGATCGTGGAGGTGTTCTAGTCCAACCTCCTACTCAAGCAAGAGACTATACTATTTCAGATAAGTGGCTGTCTAGCCCCATGATGACGAACCTATGGCACGCGTGCCGGAAGTGGCACGTAGAGCCATCTCTCCGGGCACGCCAGCCTTTGATCTTCTAGGTTCCAGTGTGCACATGGGCACCGGACAGCTGGTCATCACACACGTGCGCCAGAAACTGGAAAACCATGTGACTGGCGCACATGCGCACGCTGGAAACCAGAAGCTGTTTCTTGGTATGCACATGCATGCCGGGGACCTGCTCTTCCGGTTTCCTGCGCTTCTCCCCCCTGCACATGCACACACTGCCATTTCAGCACTCGGTTCCGAAAAGGTTCACCAACACTGATCTAGCCTCTTTTTAAAAGCCTCTAGTGATAGACCACCCATGGGCTGCATTAAACAAGTGGTTTTGTATTGGCCAATTTCCAGGTATTTTAACATTTTGGATTAGAAAAGAGATAAAGAATAAGATAAAGGAAGGAAATATAGTGATCCCTCATCCTGTGAAACTGCTTAGTTGAGAAAGTCAACTGAGATCTGGAGTTGTCAATTGGTAAAATCCAGTTTATAGTAACCAATCACATGAAATCTTTCAGTAGAGAGGAATACAGTTATACACATATAATAACTTTAATAATCTTCAGGGAGAACCTGCTGTCCTACATCACTAGATGGAGATGACGGTGTGTATAACTATCTCTTGAGAGATCAGGGGATCACATAACATGTTGAATCCAGCTGGGGAAAAGTCCAACTAAGAATTATAACTCTATGTTTTTAGGATTTGCAGATTAAAGGAGATCTTGCAAATTCTTCCTGACTCTGCTCATAGGGATTCTTTCTCGTTCAGGGTCCCGTATCCTTTGAGGAGGTGGCTGTTCATTTCACCAGTGAAGAGTGGTCGCTGCTGGATTCCAGGCAGAAAGCCCTGCATCAAGAAGTCACGTTGGAGGCTTCTAGGATTGTAAACTCTTTAGGTAAAGGTTCATCTAGAGAAAAATTAAGTAAGATTGAGGAGTCACTGGACTGTTTATTTGCAGTTTACGATAACTGTGCAGATCTTGTTCAAATTGTTTATCTTTTCTCTTTTAATTTTGTATTAATTCCGGTCCACTTCTGTGGTCTCCTAAGTACCACAGTATCATTTAGAAGAAAGGAATTGGTTAGAGATAGTCAGTCTGGAGAATTGACATGCAGTCTTGATATCTTCTTTGGGTCATGTGTCGATACTGCAGAACTATTGGGAATATAATCAGAGAGGGATGTTTTTGCTTATTTCACTCGTCCTAATTAGCACCATATTTTTTTCTTGGAATGCTACTGCAATGACTTTGGCTTTGGCACATCTGACAAAAGGGCGTATGCCACATCTAGGCTTCAGGACACTGCATTAGTTGTTATGTTCTTTCATGTTCTGCATTTAAATTGTTGTCAAAAACCCTGAATTAGATGAGTTGAGCGGCCATGCCAATGTTTAAAATTAAGAAATAGAATTTATGCTGTCATTCCTTGTTTTGTTCTACCTCCAGATGTCCAGGAATAGGTGCAGGCTAGGGACAGTTATGAGGATAATAAACTATACATTATAAAGTTTTTTGATTTCTTTTTCTTTTCCCTCAAACAGTTGATGTGCAGAAAAATGAAAATTACCAAGAGCCTAGTGTGGTGCCATCACAAATAATCAGAACTGAGATACAAGAAGAGATATCTGCAAGTAAGTGGGGAAGAAGGAGATATGATAAAAAAGGATCTTACAACTGGAGAGAAAACTCTACTTCTGAATGTGCGGAAATGGAACACTTCCAGATTCAACATGACTTCAAAGAAAGCAGTATGAGAAAGTGTCGAGGAAATGGGAAGAGATTCAAACCCAATTTCAGCAACCACGGCAAAATTGGAAAAAACGTCAACTATAACACCAAAATTATCCCACATAAAATAACCCATGCAAAAGAGAAGTCCTATAAATGTATGGACTGCGGAAAGAACTTTAGGTGGAGAGGTAATCTTAACTACCATAAAAAGGTCCATTTGGGGGAAAAGCCCTTCAAATGTGCAGAATGTGGAAAAAGTTTCATTATGAACAGTGCTTTTACTTTTCATAAAAGAATCCATATGGGAGAGAAACCTTACAAATGCCTGGAATGTGGAAAAAACTTCAGCACCAGAAGTTATCTGACCTCCCATAAAAGGATCCACACAGGGGAAAAACCCTATAAATGTGTAGACTGTGGAAAAAGCTTCAGTATGAAAAGTTCCTTTACTTACCATAAAAGGATCCATATGGGAGAGAAACCGTATAAATGCCTGGAATGTGGAAAAAGCTTCAGTATGAATAGTTCTCTTACTTACCACAAAAGGATCCACACAGGAGAGAAACCCTATAAATGTCCAGTGTGTGGAAAGAGTTTCAGTAGCAGCAGTTATCTAACTTCCCATAAAAGGATCCATACAGGGGAAAAACCCTATAAATGCATAGAATGTGGGAAAAGCTTCAGTTTGAACAGTTCCTTTGCTTCTCATAAAAGAATCCATACAGGAGAGAAACCCTATACGTGCACAGAGTGTGGAAAGAGCTTCAGTAGCAGCAGTTCCCTTACTTGTCATAAAAGGATCCATTCAGGGTTGAAACCTTATATATGCAATGAATGTGGGAAGAGTTTTATTTCAAGCAGCTCCCTTACTAAACACATTAGTATCCACTCAGGGGAAAAATTATATCCCTGCACAGAGTGTGGGAAAAGCTTCCGATTGAATAGTCATTTAACTTCCCACAAGAGAATGCATACTGGAGAAAAACCTTATCGATGCACGGACTGTGGAAAAAGCTTTAGTATGAATTGTTCCCTTACTTCTCATAAGAGGATCCATTCAGGGTTGAAACCTTATATATGCAAGGAATGTGGGAAGAGTTTTATTTCTAGCAGCTCCCTTACAAACCATGTTAGTATCCACATAGGTGAGAAACTATATCAGTGTTCAGAGTGTGTGAAAAGCTTCAGGTGGAAAAGTCACCTAATTTCTCATAAAAGAATTCATACAGGTGAGAAACCCTATAAATGCACAGAGTGTGGAAAAAGCTTCAGTAAGAACAGTTCCCTTACATCTCATAAAAGGATCCATACGGGAGAGAAACCCTATGAATGCACAGAGTGTGGGAAGAAATTCAGCAAAAGCCGTTACCTTACTTCCCATAAACGAGTCCACACACGGGAGAAACGATAGATATGCTCTAAATATGGAAAGTTTTTTGTGAAAAACAGAATCCTTATGCCTCCTAATAGGAATCACAGAAATGGAAAATATATATATACCATACATGCATGATGTTGAAAACAAGTTTATGCGGCGTGATCAACTTGCTTTCCATAAAAAGTCCCACATGGGGGAGATGCCTTTTGGGATTGAAGGGTCCTGAATTCCTGTAAAAGGATTGACTGTAATATCAAATCTATACAGTAAAGGAAGAGCTTCACTCAAGAATTGTGAACTGATGTGTCTTAAAGGGCTACACACAAGGAAAATAGCATCTAAGCACATACTGTCAGAAGAGCTTCAAATGCTTTTATTTCTGTGTGCGCCTTGCTTTGCCATTGCTGCCATCGTAGGGCTGAGAGAAAGTGACAGGGCCAAGATCACTTAGTATCTAATGTGGGACTAGAATTCATGATCTCCCAGTTTCCAGCCTGGTGTCTTAACTACTCCACCAAGCTGAATTTTTCAAGTGGAATAGAAACTTTATTTTTTGGAAAATAAGTTATTGTAGGTACGCATGGGAGAAACATTAGAATGCATAAAATACGGGAACAGTTTGAGAAGGAAATGTCCACTTGGGAAAGGAGTCTATAAATGCAGGGAGAATGGGAAGAAGTTAAGCAAGGGCAGGTCCCTTAGTTCCCATGATAGGATCCATATAGAAGAACCACAAATACATGTGTGGGAGAAGAATTATCAAGTTGGAGTCTTTAGAACTTAAGTATAAGGAGCTCTTATTTCCCAGAAAAAGTTTCACATAGGAGAGAAAATATATATAAATGCATAGAACAGCAAGAAAGTCAGTCTTTTTATCTGTCTTACAGTATTTCCCATAAAAGAATCGACTTTAAGGATCCAGTAAGTACAATGCTCCCACATAAAAAGTGAACAGTTCAGAGGATCATCATAGGAGAAACTGAATAAATGTATGAATTATGGAAAGAGCTCCCGATAGATTTTTTTAATACTAGAGGTATTACCTAGTTAGTTACATCTTGCTCACAAGAATCTTCTATTACACTGTCCTGCTTATTATGCCAGTATTTGTCAAGACCTGTGCCTGGTCAATTTGCTTTATTTAAGTTGTTAACAACTTTCTTAAGTTGTTCTAGGATCAGGCTGCAGGCTTTATGAAGAACTAACATACGCAAGCAAAGCAGGGGAAAATGTTTGTATATGTATGTATATTTTTAGCTCTAATTGTATTGAAAATACCAATGTTCCTTTCAAGTATTTCAGCTGTTTGTTTGTTTTTTCATATATCATGATGTGTATTACTTGTGGTTTATCTGTGAAACATCTTTTCCAGGTGTTTAGATGTACATGTCCATTTGGTTGAGTATGTGTCTGGCTATAAAATCATATTCCTGCTGTAAGAAGTGTGGCCAGTGAGTTTATGATTGCAAGTATTGTCGCTTTACTTTAAAAATGTTTTTATGGCTCCAACAGTGAATTCATATGAACAATATTTTTTAAGGAGGGAACTAAACAGCTTGATTTAATTTACTCAGTGTCTTCTAACCAGGACCATATTTTCTAACATCTTATCAAAAAATACCATTCATCTCAAAGTGTGTGTGTGAGTGACAGAAGACAGAGATGCTTTCTGGATTTCTGTTACATTCCCAAACTGCTGAATTTGTCCAGGATTTCATTATCACTTTAATACCATTGTATATTTTGTGATATCAAGGTAATCAGAAACCTCAAATCCTATTTGAAATTTTAGGGCACCGTGGCACTGCCAATTGGAGAAATCTTGTGTTGGCGTGATTGTGACTGTTTTTTTTAACCTTAATATAGCTTTAAAAATGTTTCTGCATGTTCTGATTAACTGTATTTCTCATTTTGAAAGGTTATTATAATAAATTATTGGAAACAGTCGTTGCCCAATGTAAATGACGCCTCTACATAATATACATGCAGTAAAGAAATAAAGGGGGGGGGGGACAAATGAATATGCAGAAGAAACTTTAGTGAAGGGTGAGGAGTGGAATAGAAAGTGCTAAAGTGGCAGAATGAGCTCAGTTCAAACTCGGTACCAAAGGATTCCCACTGCAGATGATGATTGCATAGAAATCCATGGTATGTGAGAAAGGTAGCAAGGCAGATTGACCTATAAGAGAAGCAAGAAATGAGAGAAAGCAGTGCCTATAAAATGTAGGAAGATTCATTTCGTTTCTTATAATGTGGCATTTTTGTTAGAATTTTCCTAATTATGTAAATTTTATATCTGTGGAGATAATCCATGCAGCATTGAAATTGCTTTGGCCAACTTTCTCTTCTTCCTTTACACCAGAGGAGCCAGAAATCTTTAGCCTTTTGCCTCTTTCTACAACTTGGAAGGTATTTTTGGCCTTTAAGGGTTTGCACTTTGAGGATGGGGAGGTTTATGCGGCGTCTACATTTATCTTCCCATTTAATACCTAAAATTAAATGAATTTAATACTTAGAAGACCTCCAAAGTCCCTTCCAATTGTTATTCTATTCTAAATAATATATTAATTGAATAAGACAGTTCAATATATACCGGATTGTCCAGCCAGGGATTCCACTCTTTCCCTTTGCAAATGAAGTCCTGAAAGAAACACCATCTTTATTCTGAAGGGTCTTTGGGGGTGAGTGGAGGCCGAGAGCTTGAAGATGATCCACTGTGGAGATCTAGGGATTGTCCGATTCATTCGCCTCAGAGACGGGGTGATTTCAAAGAGTCCCTTGTGGGGCTCCCATCAGAGAAGCCGGAAAGGAGCTTCTGAGGGGGACACTGTGGGCCCCTGAGAGAGAAGAGGGGACCATAAAGAGGCCAAATTCGCTCTCTGACCCAGAGAAAGGAGAAGTCGAAACCCTCCTTGAGGACCCCAAAGACCCCAAAATGGCGATTCCCTCAGAGCCGCGTCTGTCTGCAAGTCCGCTCTTCCCGCCTGAATAGGCTCCTCCCACCTCTCGGATCCACGTTTCCCGCTTTTTCTGAGGGGATCGCATTGAGAAGGGCGTGGCCAAAATGAAAAGGGAAGAGTCACGCAAGCTCCTGCCTCCCTCCCCCTACAGCCTTTTCCCCAACGTCTCCCCTGGGGAGGGGGTCCCAATCCCCTTCTCCCTTCCGCCTCCGGCAGTACCCACCCTTACCGTGGGTCTTCCTTCCCCCCTTCGCTTTCAGGGCTCCCGGCCAACGTCCCCACACGCAGCGGCAACAGGCGGAGCCCATGGAGGCTTCCCATAAACCCCCTCCCCAAGAGGGGGGGGGAAATGGAATTGGGAGGGGGAGCTTGACAGGGATAGTTCGGAGTTGGCGTCCCAGGAATCGGTTGCGCCAATGGGAATCCTCCCTTCTGTTGAGTCATCTGTCTCTGGGCAGAATCTCCCGTGATTTCTCCCTGCGGAGAAAGCCTTTGTGTGCAGCGCAATGGGAGGGGACCTTCCGTGTTAAAGGGGGAGGGGGTTGTCCCCAAGAGGACACAGGCGGGCCCTGAGCGAAGGAATCTCTCGGAGAGGCGACGATTGCTGAGATGTGGAAATCCCAGGCTACGAGCAGATGACGCCCCAAATGTAATGGTCTCCTCCACTCATTTTTCACAAGACCCCCCTGTGACACGTGTCTCTAGCCTTCCAGTGCATGATCTATTCTTGCTTTCCAGAGGCCTTTCTGTATGGCTCTCCTCTCTCTGCTTCAAGGATTTCCCGTTTCTCTGACCTCCCGGGAAGTTTGACGCCTGAGAAGCATCAGGTGATAATATCTTTTTTAAAACATTTATCTCTGTGTTCCAGGGTACTGGCTGTCATTTTCCCCTCCACACTTTTCTCACGATCCTTATTACGAAGTACATGAATACTGAAGCTCGATGATCAAGGTCTGAGTCTGCATTCCCATTTCTTGGAGAAATATCGGTGTATCTCCTGGGATTTAGTTACGCAAAGGTAAAAAATCTGGATCAGACGTATGGCTCCAGGCAGCCTTTTTGTGGGATGTTTGGAGGATGGAAACCCGGATTGCCCCTCCTGTTCCGGAAAGTGAAGGAGGAGAAAACTCAGAAGATGTGGCCCAGGCAACTATGGTCACAGTTTCATTCATTCTAGTCATTCTGATTCCGATCGGACACAGGTGAGGCCTTATATCAAGACCTACCTAGTGGCGATAAAAGCGGCGAAATCTAACCATTTTTCCGCTCTTATCGCATCTGCAGAGAACCGCCCAGCCGCCCTGTTTAGGGTGACCCACTCCCTTCTTCGGGGGGGGGAGTGCGGGAGGATCCCTTGCAGGGTCGCGCTGAGGATTTTGTGCAATTCCTGTATGATAAAGTCGCTCGGATTCAGGAAGGCTTGGACTCCGACTGGGTGAGTCCAGGGGAGGAGACGAGGGTAGGTCTTGAGAATATTATCTGGAAGGAGTTTGATCCTGTGGCTCCCGAGGATGTGGACAGGGTTCTGGGTAGGATTAGTGCCGCCACATGTTTATTGGACCCGTGTCCCTCCTGGTTGGTACTGGCCTCCCGGGAGGTTACACGAGGCTGGCTCCAGGGGATTATAACTGCTTCTCTGAGTGAGGGTGCCTTTCCCGCCCCCTTGAAAGAGGCGGTGGTGAGGCCCCTCCTCAAGAAGCCTTCCCTGGACCCGGCTGAATTAGTTAACTATCGTCCGGTCTACAACCTTCGTTTTGTGGCGAAGGTTGTTGAGAGTGTGGTGGCACGACAACTGCCCAGGCACCTGGATGAAGCTATCTATCTAGACCCGTACCAGTCGGGCTTCAGGCAGGGGCACAGCACAGAAACGGCATTGGTCGCGTTGGTGGATGATCTCTGGAGGGCCCAGGACAGGGGTTGCTCCTCTGTCCTAGTCCTATTAGATCTCTCAGCGGCTTTTGATACCATCGACCATGGTATCATGCTGCAGCGGTTGAGAGGGTTAGGAGTAGGGGGCACCGTTTTGCGGTGGTTCTCTTCCTTCCTCTCCGGCCGCTCGCAGTTCGTGTTGGCAGGGGGGCAGAGGTCGACCTCGAGGCATCTCGCATGGGGAGTGCCACAAGGGTCAGTCCTCTCGCCTCTTCTGTTCAACATTTATGTGAAGCCGCTGGGTGAGATCATCCGTGGTTTTGGGGTGAAGTGTCACCTGTACGCTGATGATACTCAGCTGTACATCTCCACCCCAGACCACCCCAACGATGCCCTTGATGTGATGTCTCGCTGCCTGGAGGCCGTGCGGGCCTGGATGTGGAGGAACAGGCTCAGACTCAACCCATCCAAGACCGAGTGGCTGTGGCTGCCGGCGTCCCGATATAGTCAGCAGGTGCCATCGCTGACTATTGGGGGTGAATCTTTGCCCCCCACAGAGAGGGCTCGCAATCTGAGTGTCCTCCTGGACGCACGGCTGTCTTTAGAAGAGCATATGACGGCCGTGGCCAGGGGGGCCTTTTATCAGGTTCGCCTGATCCGCCAGTTGCAGCCCTTTCTGGACCAGGACGCCTTGCGCACGGTCACTCATGCCCTTGTCACCTCCCGGCTGGACTATTGTAATGCTCTCTACATGGGGCTCCCCTTGAAGAGCACTCGGAGGCTCCAACTGGTCCAGAATGCGGCTGCGCGGGTGGTTATGGGCGCAACTCGTTGTGCCCGCGTGACACCCCTCCTGCGCGAGTTGCACTGGCTCCCAGTGGTCTTCCGGGTGCGATTCAAGGTGTTGGTTACCACCTTTAAAGCGCTCCATGGCATAGGACCCGGGTACCTTCAAGACCGTCTTCTGCCACCAATAGCCTCCCACCGACCAGTCCGTTCCCACAGAGAGGGTCTCCTCAGGGTGCCATCAGCCAAGTTATGTCGGCTGGCGACACCCAGGGGGAGGGCCTTCTCTGTGGGAGCCCCAGCCCTGTGGAATGAACTGCCCCTGGAAATACGTAAGATCTCCGACCTCCGGGTGTTCCGCTGCGCACTGAAGACCCTGTTATTCCGCCAGGCAGGGCTGTCAATATAATAATTTTAAATTGGGGTATTTTAATTTTTAGAGTTTTAAATCGGCCAAATTTATTTAATTATTTTAATTTTTAATTATTGTTGTGTCTTGTGTTTTTAAATTGGCTGTACACTGCCCTGAGTCCTTCGGGAGAAGGGCGGTATAGAAATATATATATAAAAAAAACAAGAATAAGATGAGGATGTAGCCTAGAAAACTGGGAGACATTAGCAGGTATCAAGCTCAAAACATCAAAAGCAGCACAATGTGTCATGTTCTGCCAGATTTTTTTTGGGGGGTGCATCAAGGCCACCTCCATCTGTCAGCCCCCCCCTTGCCCCAGAAAGGCTCATTAGCATGTCTATGCAGATTCTCAGTCCTCCAGGTCATGGTTGTCCCAAAGATGCTTTTTCAAGAGACAACTAGTATTTCTTTGAAGATGTTTCACTTCTCATCCAAGCAGCTTCTTCAGCTCTAACTGGAAGGTCTACAAAATGGTCCTTTCAGCAGTTCCAAGAAGGCTTCACACCCATTCGTCCTACTCGGGTGACCCTGAGGACTCAGATAAACTTCCAAGTGGCTTCAAGGACTGTCTAAAAGGATGCAAATGACCAGCTGCTTGCAAGGAGTATAAATCCTTCTATCATCCAATCAGAGCTGAAGAAGCTTCTTTGATGAAAAGTGAAACATCTTCAAAGAAAAAGCCAGAACGTCCAGTTGCCTCTTGAAAGAAGCACTTTTGGGACTTCTCGTGTTACACCTTATGGCGGAAAACTGGGCGGGTAAGGAAGACCTCAGAGACATTGTGGAATGGCATTAATCCAGCCCGCCTGCGCATGAACAAGGAACTGATGGCAGTACTTTGCTTCTTTCCTGTGAAAATCTACCAAGAGCCACATTGGACTCTGTTGGGGGGAGGGGGGTCCACCTTTGGCTTTGCTAC